GAGTGAGAGGGGCAGGGAGTGAGAGGGGCAGGGAGTTAGAGGGGCAGAGAGTGAGAGGGGCAGGGAGTTAGAGGGGCAGGGAGTTAGAGGGGCAGAGAGTGAGAGGGGCAGGGAGTTAGAGGGGCAGGGAGTGAGAGGGGCAGGGAGTTAGAGGGGCAGAGAGTGAGAGGGCCAGGGAGTTAGAGGGGCAGGGAGTGAGAGGGGCAGGGAGTTAGACCCACAGGGCCTCCCTAAGCAGCAGCCAGCATGCAGCCATGTTGCTGACGCTGCGTTTGCTGCTATGGTGGCCGTTGGTCTTTATTTAGACCGGGACAGAAGGTCCGACCAGCTCTGCTCCGTTTCAGGGGGAAGGGTCCAAACCTCACAGATGTTTCAGTGCAGATGACTTTTTCTCTTAGATCTGTGATCTACGATCTAGATCAGCCATAGAAATTGCATCTAGAGCGTCAGGTCTAGGAAGACTCCAGCTTGTCCGCAATACCTGGACCTTTCCATCTAAACCGGCTGTGCTGGTAAAACGAACCTGTTGCCATGGTAACCCAATGAAGAGCCGTTTCATTTTAAAAGTGATCCCACAGCATGATGAAACTCTTCTCTACCTTCTTGATGATCTTCAGCTGCTCCTGCAGGAGGTATTTCCTGTGGGTCTGCTTGATCTTCTCCTCCACCTGTAGCACAGCAGAGGGTTAGTGAGCACACATGGCGAGCTGTGCAGAGGCAGCACGCGCTCTGTGACCTCTGACCTCACGGCCCAGCCGCTGCTGCAGTTTGCTCAGTTCGTACTCCTTCTTCAGCAGAGACAGAGCTTTGTAGAGACGCTTGGGGATCTGCAGGGACAAATAATCACTTCATGGTTTTTGCAATAAGAGGAAAAACGATTCCTGCTCTCACAAGGAGGGGCTCCTACATTGGTCTCCTCCAGGACGTCCTGCAGCTCCCGGGACTCGGCTCCTGTCAGCGCCGCCCCCATGTCGCTCAGGTAGATGGGGTTATCCACCACCCGCTGACCGGCCTGCATCATCTGAAGCACCGACTCTCTGGCAGACAAACAGCTTTCAGCACAGAAGCAACTACAACATGTTTCTATGCAAAGCAAAACCTCCGTTAGCAACAGTTAGCTTCTGTTCATCGGACAGAGCCGGAGGGAGCCGCCTACAGGTGGCGCTGTACCTCAGGAACTGTTGCAGTAGTCCTATCCTACACACAGGCTGTTAATGCAGAGTCCGACGTAAAAGGCATGTGATACGTTCAAGGCTGGAGAAAAGCTCGGATATCTGAGAACTCAGTGAGGTTAACGTCCCTGGATCAGAGCGCACCTCTGAGATAAATGCTCTGAAGTTAGCTAACTCCCGCACACTGGGGGAGGAGTGGCCACACTGGGAGAGGAGCGGCGGCCACACTGGGGGAGGAGCGGCGGCCACACTGGGGGAGGAGTGGCGGCCACACTGGGAGAGGAGTGGTGGCCACACTGGGGGAGGAGTGGCGGCCACACTGGGAGAGGAGTGGTGG